CTGGAGCCCACTCACCCAGAGATGAGGGTCATCACCACCATCTATCCAAGCGTCTTAGGGATCTTGTCTTACAGCATTCATTTCAGCAACATTCATTTGGCTTTTATTTCTTTATTGAGCACCTGCTGTGTCCCAGGCACCCACTAGCAATAACATAACTAAAATCTCTGCTCTCATTTCTGCTTTATAAGTGAAGCAGAGGAGAAGTTGGCATATCATTACATGGCTGTGAGTGGGACATGCTGGGTGTGGAGCTGGGGGGCACCTGACCCTGGGGGAGTCAGGGAGGGCTCTCTGAAGAAAGAGGGAGCAAACACAGTTGGCAGATGCCACAGTCTGGGAGGGCTCTGAGAAATTACAGAGGTGTAGGCTCCGGATCTTACAATCGTAGATTCAGACACTAACATCTACCCACTCAGAAGTTAGGGTTAAATTTTCTTGACTTCATTTAACTGTTTGTTTCTAGGCTCCACTTTCTCAGAGACTTAAGATGTACCTTGTTAGGAAAGCCCAAATATCCTTAGGAAGTGATTAATGTTCATGTACAACATGGAAAAATTAAAATAAAGAAGTTGGTGGGTGGGTGAAGTCTTCTTTAATCTTTGTTAATATTTAGGCACATTTCCTTTTATTCATTCTCTTTCTTTCCAATTTTCCTTTCTTTTTAAAATTGAGTTGTAATGTGTATACCATAATGTTCATAGTTTTAGTGTACAATTTAGTGCTTTTTAGTACCTTTACAGGTTACGTAACCATCACCACTATCCAATTATAGAACATTTTTATAACCCCTAAAAGAAACACCAAACCTATTAGCAGTCACTCCCTTTTCCTTCCTAATCCTTCCAGCCCCTGGCAACCACTAATCTACTTTCTGTCTCTGTGACTGCCAAATCTGACATTTCATGGAAGTGGAATCATGATATGTGGTCTTTTGTGTCTGGCTTTGTTCATTTAGTGTGATGTTTACAAGGTCTGCTTACATTGTTGCACGAATCAGTACTTTACCCTATTTTATGGTCAAATAATAGTATATTTTATGTATATGCCTTATTAAAAATTCATTTATCAGTTGATGGATACTTAGCTTTTGTTTTGGTACTAGGATTAAGTCCAGGGCCTTTGCACTGAGCTGCATCCCCAGCCTTTTAAATTTTGAGACAGGATCTCACTAAAGGCTATAAGTTTCCCAGGCTGGGTTCCAGCTTGGGATCCTTCTTGCCTTAGCCTCCCATAGTGCTGGGATTATAGGCTACACACTCAGGTATTTAGTTTTTTTTTTCTCTTTAGAGTTATTTTAAATAATGCTGCAATAAGTATACATGTACAGATTTTTGTGTGGACATGTTTTCATTTCTGTTGGGTATATACCTAGGAATGGACTCACTGGGTCACATGTCAATTCTAAGTTTAATGTAGAGGAAATGTCAAACTCTTTTTCAAAGTGGACGAACCATTTTGCATTTCTACCAGCAATGTATGAGAATTTCAGTCTCTTCACACCCTCATCAACACCTGGTATTATCCTTTTTATTATGGTCATCTTAGTGGGTATGAAGTACATCACTATGGTTTTGATTTGCATTTTTGTGGTGACTGATGATGTGAAACATCTTTTTGTGTGCTCATTTGCTACTTCTTTGCAGATATGCCTGTTCACATAAATCCATTGCTGCCTTTTTTGGGTTATTTGCCTGTTTATTCTAAGTTGTAATAGTTCGTCACATACCCTGGATTCTAGACCTTTATCAGATACGTGATTTGAAAATATTTTCTCCATTCTGTGGGTAGCCATTTAACTTTCTCCATACTGACCTATATAGGCCAAAAGTTTTTATCCATTCTTTTTTTTTTTTTTTGGTTGCTTATGCTTTTGGTGTTCAATCTAAGAAATCATTGTCTAATCCAAGGTCATGAAGATTTACATTGATTTTTTTCTAATAGTTTTTTTTTTTTTGAGATAGGGTCTCACTTTATAGTTCAGGCTGGCTCTGAACTTATTATGTAGCTCAGGCTGGCCTTGAACTCACAGCAGTTCTCCTGCCTCTGCCTCCTGAGTGCTGGTGTGAGCCACCACGCCTGACCGTCTAATAGTTTTATAGTTATACATTTAAAAAGTTGTAAATATGTAAAATAGCTTTTATATTTAGGTTTTTGATTCATTTTGAGTTAATTTTTATATATGATGTGAGGTAAGGGTATAACTTCATTCTTTTGCAAATCAATATGTAGTTGTTCCTTTATCTTTTGTTGATAAGACTGTTCTTTAACTATTGACTTACCTTGACTGCCTTGTCAAATATCAATTGACCATACTTATATGGGTTTATTTTAGTCCTATTGTTTCTCTTTTATTGATCTATATAACTTTATGCCAGTACCATACAATCTTCATAATAGTACCGTTACAGTAAGTTTTGGAATTGGTAAATGTGAGTTCTCTAGATTTGCTCTATTTTTCAATATTATTCTGGCTATTTTGAATCTTCTACATTTCTATATGAATTTTAGGATCAGTTTCTACATTTTTGCAAAAAATCCAGCTGAGATTTTGACAGTGATTGCTCTGAATTCATAGATCAATTTGAAGGGTATCGTGATCTTAACAATATGAAGTCCCCCGCCCCTTCCCTTCCTCTTCCCCTCTCTCCCTCCCTCCCTAGATATCTGTTTATTTACTTTTTATGGTCCTAGGGATTGAACACAGGGCCTCACCCATGCTGGGCAAGTGCTCTCTCTATCACTAAGCTATATCCTTTGCCCTTTTAACATTTTTACTTTGAGACAGGGTCTTGCTAAGTTGCCCAGGGTGACTTGAAAACCTTCCGCCTTATCCTCCTTAGTAGCTGGGATTACAGGCATGTGTCCCTATACCTCACTGGTATTTATTGAGTATAAAGTTGAGCTTAGCCAAATGTACTGTTTTGATTCTAGATTTATCCAGCAGAATATTATACCTGTTATGAAAGATGCAATTATAATTTTAGTGCTGTATAATATTCCAGTACTTAGCTGTGCCATACAGAATGATAAATTCTAGTTGGATAATCTGTGTTGGAAGGTACTTCACCTGAGTCACTCATGGTGCAGTGGGACTGATGGCTCACTGAGAAGCAGCAGAATATTAATGTCAGAGTTGACCAACAGACACCCCATGCTGCAGGTAGGGAATAGAGCTCAGTGGAGAAGCCAGTGTTCTGGTTAATGGACAGTCAACCTGCCTGTCTTCCTGGCCGCACCATCCTAATGTAGTACAATCAGAAAAAAGCATCTAATGGGCTTTACAAATATCGATGGAACACATTTTGTTTGGGCACATTTTACCACATTAAACATTTTAAAACTTGAAGCCTGAAATTCATTTTACACTGTAACGGAGTACCACACACACATCCACCTAAAACACAAGTTTCACTGAATGCTATTTACTTTTTTATTTTTCTTCTCAGTACTGGAGATTGAACCTAGGGCCTTCACACTGTGCAGCATCCCTAGTCCACCCTCTCTTTACATTTTTTGTTTGTTTTTTTGAGACAAGGTCTCCCTCTGTAGTGCAGGCTGACCTTGAATGCACTATGTAGTCCTGGCTGGCCTCAAACTCATAGTATTCCATCTGCCTCTCAGCCTTCCCAGTGCTGGAACTACAAGTGTGCACTACCACACCTGGCAGTATTTTTTTAAAAATGTTGATGCAGAGTCATATTAAGTTGCAAAATTGCCCAAACTGGGCTCAATTTTAAGATCCTCCTGCTTCAGTCTCCCAGAGTGTTGAGATTTGAGATATGTGCCATCATGTTCTGTTTCTACTCTTGGTATCAGCAAGGAGAGCTCTGCACTGCAGTGACAAACCACATAGTGGCTAAAATGCTTTTTTTTTTTTTTTTAAAGTGAGAGAGCCTTTGGATATAGCTTTCCCCATCCAGACCATTGCTGGTTTCAGCAGCAGAAGACTTCTTTACACAAAAAAGTCCATGTCCTGCTCCTCGACCATTGTGGTGATAATAGTTGCAGGTAGAATTAAATTTGCTGATCAGATGATCTCAAAATAAGAGATTATTCTGAATCATTGAGGTAGGCCAGTGTAATCTTAAGGATATTTAAAAGTGGGAGAGAGACGCAAAAGAGAAGATCAGAGTGATGCAATGTGGCAAGAACCTGACCTGCTCTTGCTGACTTCGAAGGTGGCAGAAGGAGGTTGGCCGTGAGACAAGGGATGTAGGCAGCATTGAGAAGCTGGAAAGGGCAGGGAAACAGATTCACTCCTAGAGACTCCAGAAAGAAACAGAGACCTTCAAAACCTTGATTTTAGCCTAGAGAGGCCCATTTTGAACTACAGAACTGAGATGGCAAATTTGTGTTTTAAGGCATTTGTGGTAATTTGTTAGGACATTTGTGGTAATTTGTTAGGACAGCCATTGAAAGTGAATACAAAGGACACATGGAATCGTGTTCCAGGGCTTAATTGCATCTGTCTGGAAGTGACACGTGACACTTCTATTCCTTTTTTTTTTTTGTACCAGTGATCAAACTTGGAACCTTGCGCTTGTGAGGCAGGCAGTGGCACTACTGAGCTAAATCCCTGGCCCACTTCTATTCCTATTTAATTGGCCAGAGCAGGCCATGTGGGTTTGTCCAACTGCATAGGACCGGAGATGTTTGATATTCCAAAGGCCCAGCCTTAGAGGGAAACTGAATGTTGGAGAATATAGTAATATCTGTCATACCCTTTCTACCTCGAGTGCATGTTCATATTTTCTATTATACTCTATTCCATTTCATTAAAATCTAAACATCTTTTAAGTTGATTCCATTATTAGTGTGTTGTGAACCCTGGTTTGGAAAACACTACATTATACCCTCTCTTCTACTCCTACTTCTTGGATCACATGATATACCCTGAGCATAGCTGATTGGCTCAGGGGTGGGGCACCTGATGAAAGCGGACCAATCACATTTCTCTCTTGGGAATTTGGAATTGGGCCATTCAGCCAGTTAGTAGCGGGAAGCTGAGCGAGAGAGGCAGAGTCGAAAGAGGAGTGAAGTGTGAGTCACATGCAAGCCAAAAGGATGAAGGAACAGAAAAGCCCTGAGTAAGCAGAGAGCTGGTCCACAGAGACAATGGAGCATTTGCACAGACCGCTGTGCAGCTGGGAGAACATGCAGTCCCAGAAGGAGAGGTGGAGAGAGGGAGCAACTGCCTGAGGATCCGATGGCTTCCCTGCTCCTGGCTCCAGCCCCCATGCATCCTGCCTGCGCATCCTTCCCGTGAGATTTTTGCCTCCTTAACGTACCCTCTCCTTTTTGTGAGCTACCCTGGCTGGTTTCTGTTCCTTGCCAGCATCCTGCTGGTATTTCTCCTGTGGGAAACCAGCTGCAGCTCTGAGGATGGAGTTGTGGGGGCACAGATGGGACTGAGAGCAGACAAACCCAGCCTCCCCTGCCAGCAGGTTTGGTTTGACCCACAGGCTCAGGGGTTGGTGTTTGATTTTCAGAGTGGACAGGCAGAGCTGTCTGTTTGGGGCTGCGCGTTTGGGGTCCTGGGAAACTGGGACCACCCCGTAGGGGTAAGAGGCTGGCAGAGTTACAGGGCAGGCTTGGCTTGGTGAATGGACAGATGTGGGCTCTGGACAGTCCATGGGTTGCCTCCCTGGGCCTCAGTTTCCACGTCTCTGAAACGGGATTTTCGTGAAGATCAGCAGAGATGTGGGAAAACACTGGGAGGCATGACTAGGGCATAACAAGCCTGCTCTTAGGGACTGTGGAAGCTGCTGCTGTTGTTTTGAGGAAGCCATCAAAGCCCTGGCTTCCTGGAGGACATGGCCCTGGTGCTGATTAGATGAGCAGCAGGACGTTCCCCACTGCTGGCTGTGCTTCCTGCCCCGCCTCCATCACCCCCACTCAGCCTTTGCCTCTATTCACCTTTTCATTTCTTCCTCTTCCCTTCTCCCTCCTGTCCTGATTTCCTCTGTTTTCTGTTATTCCGGATGTTGATACAAACACCTGCTTTAGGAGCCCACAGGGTTGGGTAGAAAGCATGCCCAGCTTCTGGAGGCAGAATTGTGTCTGGACCCAGAACTAGCCCTTTGCTTGGTGTATATTTCTGGGCTAATTACTGCATCTCTCTGAGGCTTGTTTTGTTTTACTTATTTATTCATTTATTTATTTTGGGAATGAGGATTGAACTCAGGAGCTTGCACTTGCGAGACAGGCGGAGGCACCACTGAGCTAAACCCTGGCCCAAGCCTTAAGTTAATTATCTGTAAAATACCCATTTCACAGTGCTATTATGAGAAATAATTAACCACTCAACAGATCCTAGCTCCTTCCTTCCCTCTTTTCCTTCTTGAGTTCTGCTTCCCCAAGCCTGGCTCCAGTGCCCTGGCTGCCCCTTGTCCCTCAGCCACTGGAATGGTTGTCCCTGCTTCAGTTATTTGAGGTCTCGGGCATTTGTGGCCTCTCCTTTCCCTCAAACACTGGGCTCCCTCTGGGTGGAGACAACTGGTCTTCTGGAAGCAGCGGGGTCCCATGGTCGGTCTACTTCTCAAGTCTCCTCTGCAGGCCCAGCCCCAGCTTGGGAGCTGCTGGTGCAAACCTTGTGATCTGTTTTTCTCTCACTTTAGCAATTATCACAGCCCAGGCAACTGTGGCATCTTCACATTCCCGACAGTGACAAACAGTAACGGGGAGAAGAGCCCCCCCCATTGGGGGGTGTGTGTGTCAAGTTCCTCATTGTAAGCAGTGCTCAGACCCGTCACTGGTCTCTGGGAAACCCAGAAGTGAGGGATGGAGAAGTGGGGGTGAGGGTTACAGAGACTGCAGCCACCACCTCCTGTACATCTCAGAGGAGCTGCTGCCTGGACATGGAGTCTTTTACCTGGATGCCGGATGGACCTCCTGCCAAGGGGCAGGATGTGGGCCGTGCACTCCCTCTCAGCCTCCAGTGGGCCTGCTGCATCTTTCTGTGTCTGCTGCATTTCTGCTTGTGATTATTTTTCTTCCCTTCTCTCGTCTCTGGCTCTCTGTCTTTCACTTTTCTTTTCTCCCTCCCCACAGTTCTGAGAAATTGTGGGATAGATGAGGGTAGGTGGGCCGGGGGGCTCTCAGGCTCCCAGACACAGCTGGGGAGAGGACAGGAGGGAAGATGGAAGTCAAGCATGCACTTTTCAGGAACTGTGGACCACATCGCTGCCTGGCTCTGTGTCCAGTGCTCTGCAGTGTGACCCTGGGTGTGTCCCTCCCTTTCCTGTGCCCTGGTGTCTTGGTCAAATCAGATGGTGGATTCCTTCACTAGTTCATTCGTTCGCCTGGCTTGCTACCTGCCATTCATTAGCACATACTTAGTGAACAGCAGTCAGGCCAGCTGTTCCCTATGCCTGCCATGTGTCAGTGGCCCTGACTTTGTAGAGTGGGTACAGTGGAGGAATAGACAGGCCAGGCATGGAAAAATAGGCAAACGGTGTAGCAGTTTAGAGAGTGAGGAGTGCTGTGGATCAAAAGGACTGGGGTGAGGAGGGGCACGGAACAAAGCATCAAATCAGGCAGTGAGGTTGGGCAAGCAGGTGTGTGGGGAGGGTAATCCAGGGAAGGGGAACTGCCAGAGAAAAGGCCCCAAGGCGGGAGCTGACCTGGTTTGTGGAACAGCAAGGAGCTGTGACTCTGGGAGGAGTGAGGAGAATCACAGGAGGTGACTCAGGGAGGAAAAGCAGGCGGGTGAGGCTGGATCACACAGACCTCACAGGCACTTGGGGCTCTTCCTCCGTGTGAATTGGTGGACTTGTTTTGAGCCTCTCTCAGCTGCCATGTGAAGAATAAGCTTTGGGGTCCATTGGGTATCCCAGGAGGGCTGGAACGGCGGTAATGGCCGCTTAGGTGGAGGTAGTGATGGAGATGGTAAGAGCTGATTATGCCGGCCCTGTTCCAGCTCCACATTTGCATGGTGTCTGGAAGTTACCACAGGCCTCTGCTGTCCATCGGGGCTTCGATCGGCCGCAGGGGCCTGCTTGGGTGGGCTATGCTAATGTTAGCCTCACTTCTCTATTTCTCCACAGAGTGTTCAAGAAGGCGAGCCCCAATGGAAAGGTGAGTGTTCCAGCTGGTGCCCGGCTCCTCCCTGAGCCCAGCCTCTGGAATCCTCTCTGGGAGCCTCTCTGGGGGCAGCAGAGCAAACTGTGTCTCTGTGGAAGTGTACAGCTCCGTGGAGAGGAGCAGATGCCACTTCTGGGGTATGGGTGACACAAGTCTCTCCTAAGGAGCCCTCTATTCAAATGGGAGTGGTCTGGCAGGAAATTTTCTGTCTGGCTTTTAGGGGGTCCAGCTCTGGTGGGGAAGAGCTGGCTTCTCATAGAGAAGTGTGTGATAAATAGAGTACCAGCCAACAAGCAAGAGCCATGGGCCAGGTGAAGCAGGTGTGAGAGCCCCCTGCTGTCACTTTGTTATCCTGGACCCCCTTTCTTTCCACAGGCCCTACTTTCCTCAGTTCAGCAAATAAATACTGCTACCATTCCATGCCAGGTCTGGGCCAAAACTGGGGATGGGGTAGGGTGTGCTGAATGAATCAGGCACATCACTCGCAGCAGATGGTGCTGAGGACACAGAGATGGGTCGTTTCCATACCAAGTGTGAGATACAGGGACGCCCGTGGCTGCAGGACCCAGCCGGGGCAGTCAGGGGTGGCTTCCTCTGGGAGGGATGCATTTCCAGACAAAGCAAGGTGAGAGGTGCTCCAGACAGGACCTTAAAATCAGACTGTAGCACACCTCAGGGAGTTGAGTCCTCAGTTGTCAAGAGGAAGCAGGAGTGGGAGCAGAGGCTGTCGTGGCTGCAGACTGAGTCATGGGAGACCGGCGGCTGGGTTTAGGAACTCAGACCCTGGCCTGGGTTGGCAGATAATGCCATGGCAGCTTCCATATCCCAGTTCAGGGCCCACGGCAGACATTACCAATCACCTCTCAACCCTTTCCCTGGCACCAGGATTCCATCTTGGATTCTTTCACAGTCCAGGGAAGCCCTGATGGATTAATCAATCAGAGTTGACAATTGGAATGAGAGCCATTTGTCATCCTTACCTCTGGGCACTGAGGAACTGTTAAAGGGTTTTCAGACAGGGGTGGCACGGTTTGATTTGCATTTTAGGATATCCAGTCTAGCTAAGGAGGGGAGAACACCCTGGAGCCCCGGGCCTGTGAGGCTGTCAGCAGAAGGCAAGGGTGCTGAGGTCATGGAGAGGAAGTATCTGAGAAATCTGGTGGAGGCCAAATCATCAGAATTGTTGTGTAGCAGGAAGTGTAGGATGGCATTCTGAGCCTCTAGAAGTCTAGTTGGGGGGTTCTTCCCTGCAGATTGGCTACCTAGTGGGGTCCAGTTCCCCACTGCTCATTACCTCAGAAAACAAGTCTTTAGGTGAGCGGCTTCCTGCTTTAGGGTTCAGGGAGGTTCCAAGTCCAGGTAGGGTTCTGATGAAGTTTAGGGATGGGGCTAGGAGTTTCAGGGGTGGCTCCAGGTTTCCTCCAGGGCAGGGCCTGTGCCCTCCCCTGCCCACAGCTGCCAATGCCCTTGTGTCTCTCCTCTAGCTCACCGTCTACCTGGGAAAGCGGGACTTTGTGGACCACATTGACCTTGTGGACCCTGTGGGTGAGTCATGGAGGGCTTGGAGGGCAGGAAGGGGAGCGGGAGGCAGGGCTGGCTCAGCCTCAGGAGGGGCCTAGGGCCCAGGATGGAGGGTGCATGCTCCTGCTCCAGTTAGCAAAGTCTTCTGAGCTTCCTTTCCAGTGTGCAGGGGCCCTTGGAGGAAATTGTGGGAAGGGTGGAGGTGAGAACGGGGACATTGTCTCGATGTGACAGGGAGGATGAGGGTGATGACACAGCAGACAGCGGGGCAGCTACGATTATTATCTCTGCTTTTCTGACAAGGACAATGACGCACAGAGAGGCTCCATGACTTGTTCCAGGTCACAGAGCCAGTCCGTACAGGGCCAGTCAGGCTCTGCAGAAAGCCTTAGTTTTGCTGCCTCCTGATGGCAAAAAGTGGGAGTTTGTGAAACGGGGATCGTTTTCATCTACATGGGGGTTCTGGGTCATGGATGAAGTCACCTTCCAAGGTATTGTTGGAGCTCAGAGTTTCTTATCCTCAGGACTTTTTTTTTTTTTGGTACTGGGGATCCAACTCACTCATGACCTTGTGTTTGTGAGGCAGGCGTGGTGCCACTGAGCTAAATCCCCAGCCTGTCCTCAGGACTCTCAACAACTGGGATCAGATGATCCCATGTTGGGGTCTGTCCCATGCATTGTAGGATGTTTGGCAGCATCCTTGGCCTCTACCCGTTAGATGCCAGGAATGTCATCTATAACATGGTTATAACAATCACAAACATCTTTGGAAGCCAACAGCCTATAATCTCAGCTATTCAGGAGACCGAGGCAGTAGGATTGCCTTTGGACATTGCCAAAAGCACTCAGGAGGCAAAATTGCCCCTAGTAAGAACCACTGCTCTTGTTGGAAGACTCTTGGCTCATTGCCTCTTCCCACAGCTGAGGGAGGGAGGCCCAGAATCACCCCATTTGATAAATGGGCCCAGTGAAGCCATAGAAGTTAGGTTATTATGTATTATTTTTAAGAAGGACATGGACAAATCAAAGTGATGCCAAAGGAGGTGACAGGCTGGGAGAATGGGGCTGAAGCCTGCATGAGGCCAAGTCCAGGTGAAGAAATGGAATGTGTTGTTGGGAAATAGTCCCAAAGAACTTGACCTCTCCTCATGTCCCTGGAGGCTGTCCTGGGGCCAGAGGGCAGAAGAGACCCTCATGGTTCCAGAGCATAGTGGCCGATTTCAGCTCAGCAGGAGGAAGACCTGTCCACTATTGAAGCCAGGGACCTAGGGTGTCAGTGAGATGTGCGCAGGTCTAGGAAGCTGCAGAAGGACCAGCTTTATTTCAGGCCCCTCTCTTTGTGGTCCTGGGCAGGACAACCCCACTTTCTCTCTCTATCCCTGTCTGAGGACACCAAACACTTTCTGTGTCTTCTAAAGGTCAGTGCCCTCTGTCATTGGCAGCTTCTGCCTGAACTGGGCCCTCAGAGGCTGTGGGCTGCTTCATTTCCAAAGGCTCTGAGGCCAATGTTGTACACAGCTATTGGCCTGTTAAGGACAGCTGTGGAGGCTGGGAGGGTGAGGGCAGGAGGGGAGCAGCTCCCCAACACACACTGGCACCTGAGAGCACCTACTTCATGCTGGGCTCTGTGGTGGCCCCGAGGAGGGCACTGTCCAGGGTTGATCTCATGACACACAGTGAGAAATATTCTGTCCATTATGACACTGCCCTCTAGTTTGATCTGGTCATGTCTCCCTGTGCTAACTACTCCTGTCAGATCTGGGCACCAGCCCAAGCCCCCTGGCCTAGGTGATGGGACTCTGTGGTCTTCCACCAGCCTCCAGAATCCATGCTTCCAGGCCTCAGAGCCATGCTGTTCCCTCTGCCTGCCTAATCAGTGACCCTTTTTTGTCCTGTGAGGTCTGGTTGCAGCTTTCCTCCCCAAGCAGCCTCCCATGACAACCCTGAGGGGTTCTCTGCACACCCCTGGGACTCTGCTTGGTTTCTCACTGAACCCCTAGTGCTCAGAGCAGGACATGGCCCAGAGGAGATACCCACCATAAAAGGAAGGAAGATGCATGGGCAGGTTCTGGGGCCTTATTGGGTATGCCCTGACCAGCTGTCTCTAGGACCTGCCCAGGACGGGTTGGATTGGGATCCTTCCAGGCACTATGCCTGAGATTCCCTAGGGGGGTCAGCTGTGGGCAGCATGGGGTTGGTGGTGGCAGTGTAACCAGAGCAAGAGGAAGCTTTGGCCAGAGATGAGTTAAGGGTGCCAGGCAGGTGTCCCCCGAGCCAGTGCTCCTGGCTTCCTAGGCTGAGAAAATGTCCTTTATGTCCAGCTGGCCACTCTGCTCCCAAGTGAAAGCTTTATGAGGGACACAGGCCCATTCCACACTCTCCATTGTGCTGGCCTGTGCCAGGCTCTGTCCATGCCCTTCACACCAGTGACACATTCTACACGTGTGCTCTCTGACACAGACTGCCCCTGTCTCACACGAGCCCCGTGAAGTAGGGGCTATGGATCACAGCCCCTAGTCCACAGATCTCAAATCCAGAATGTCTTGAAAACCTAACTCTGTTCTAGGTTTTAGGCAGGGTTTGGCTGCTGGCAAAGCTCAGGTGAGGCCATTTATGCCATAGTTAGCCTCTTGGTGGAAGATAGGCATACCTCACCGAACGACGGTGACACATTCTGAGAAATGCCTCATGAGGTAATTTTGTCGTTGCCTGAACCTTATAGGGTATACTCTTACATATTGAGATGAGCACGATGTCACTAGGTGATATCATCTTGTGGGACCGTGTCATATGTGTGGTCCTTTTACATGGCGTAAGAGTGTATCTGTGCAGAGGAGGAGCTAATGGTTTTTATAGCAGGGTGCATGTCCCGCAGAGGGTGGTGCTTAGTCTCTGGAACACTTATCACAGTGCCTCTGTGCAGCTCAAAGCTTCTGAATTCCAAAGTACACTTAGTCCTAAAGGTCTCAGACCCATATTTTCTTTTTTTTGGGGGGTGGGGGTTTGTGGCAGGGTCTCACTATGTAGTTCAGACTGCCCTGGAACCCACTATGTAGCCCAGGCTGGTCTCAAACCCACAGCGAACCTCCTGCCTCAGCCTCCCGAGTGCTGGGATTACAGGCGTGCGCCACCCTGCCCGGCCTTCAGACCCATATTATTCTTATTAACAGATGAAGAAACAGAGAAGTTAAGTAACTTGCAAGGAGTCAAATAGCTGGTCCCGGAGAGCAGAGGCTGGGAGGGCATGGTAGAGATGAGGCTGGGAAGTCCAGTGTCAGCCCGGGTGATGGCTTTCCTGTTTCTCTCTTGAGGCTTTTATATGGAGATATAGCTAGATTTGGATTTGGGTGTGTGTTGAGGGCTCAGGGGTTTGGGATGTGAAGGTGGGAGGTCTGCTCTCTCTCTGTCTCCCCCAGATGGCGTGGTCCTGGTGGATCCTGAGTATCTCAAAGAGAGGAGAGGTAGGCTGTGGTCCCCTCTCCACCTTCCTTACCGACCTCACACTTCCAGAAAGGACATCAGATAATCTTACTGCCTCTCTCTGCCCATCCCACTGGTGCCCCCCTAACCCCAGTGAATACCACAGCCAGGGAGAACTTGTCAATGCCTAAGCACTTTCTCATCCATGTGTCATGACCATAGCTAGGCTACCAGGGCCAGTAGATCAGGGGCCAGAGAACAAAAAGGTGACGGACTGTGCAAAGTTAGTGGGGAGACAGGAGCAGGGGATGGGGCTGAGATAGGACCCTGTGCCCACACTTGCTTCCTGTCCTCTGCTGTCTCTCTGCTCCCACCCCCATGCCTGCTGTCTACTCCAGCCCCCTCTGCCCTGTTAGGCCATCCCAGTGCCTCTGGAATGGGTGGGGGGAAGGCAGGCATCTCCCACTTCTGCCCAGAAACCTGCCACCCAAGTACTCAGTTTCTGCTCCTATGAGGGAGACACACCCACCCCATAGGACCCAGGGACGGACCTGTGGCCTCCAGTGGGGTGATGCTCAGGACTGCAGCTGGCACATCGGGGAGCCTTTGTGCTCTCTCCCAGACCCTTGATCAGTGCCCCTTGCTCCCCACAGTCTACGTGACACTGACCTGCGCCTTCCGCTATGGCCGGGAGGACCTAGATGTCCTGGGCCTGACCTTTCGAAAAGACCTGTTTGTGGCCAATGTGCAGTCCTTCCCACCAGCCCCAGAGGACAAGAAGCCCCTGACGCGGCTGCAGGAGCGCCTCATCAAGAAGCTGGGCGAGCACGCGTACCCCTTCACCTTTGAGGTAGGGACTGCCACCCACCTGGGCCCGTTCAGAAGTGCCACTGCAGGGAGTGCTTGGGGCAAGCACCTGGGGGCTGCAGGGGCAGCTGCTCTGGTCCCCCACCCCACCAGTGTACCTTTGGACCCAGGCACTGTCACTTATTCTAGCTGGTAAGTGTTTCTTCTCCGGCCACTGCTGGTCCTGTCACCCTTCCCGTGGGCTACTTACTCCTCAGACTCTCCTGAGTCCACATTGCTGGTGGAGAAAAGAGGGCCTGGGGAGGCTGCAGAAAAGAAAGGAACTCTTTCTGGCCCCTGGGTCACGATAAGGTGTCTCCCTACACACAGGCTGTTCAGCTTCAACCTCCTGCCCTGCTACCTTCCAAGTCCAAGAAGCCATGATTCTGAATTTCAGAATTTCTTGTTCCTTACACTATCTGAGTCTATGGTACAGTGCAATTCCCTCCCTTTCTCTGAGCATTTCCAAATGGAGTGGGAATACCAAGTCATCTTGTAGCTATATTAGTTTCTTGTGGCAAACACCACAAACTTGGTGACAGTTAAACACATCGATGAAAACAGCACAACTTTATGATGTTGAAGTCCTGAAGGTCAGATGCTCAAAATGGGCTCCTTCTGGAGGCCCTAGAGGAGAATCAGTTTTCTTGTCTTTTCCAACTCAAATGCCTTGGCTACTGGCCTCTTCACTCCATCTATGTCCTCATGGCAAGGGAAGTCTTTCTCACATCCCTTCCCTCTGTCCTGGACTCTTCTTCAGCTTCCTGTCTCCTCTTTCATGACCCTGGTTGTTATATCCAGCCAGTCTGACTCATCCGTGCTATTCCTCCCATCTTGATCCCACTTGTAAAGTCCCTTTTGTCCAGTAATGATAACAGAGTTCCAGATTTTGGGGATTAGGACATGAACATCTTTAGGGAGCCATTATTCTGCCTACCACAGCAGACATCAAGAAAAGATTTTTCAGCTGTTGCTGTGAGGACTGGGCTGGGCTAAATCCTTAAAGAAACCAGATTCAAGTCCTTGACTTCACTGGAGGGGCCTCTGATTGGGAAGACATGGCCTATTCTAGGGGCTCCTTGTCTCTTGCGGGAGACATAGCTAGTCCTCGGGGACCCTGCTGTGGCAGGTGTGTGGGAATGAGATGAGGCAAGGGCAGGGCAGTGGTAGCTCTGATGGGTCTGATGGTTTCTGTCTTCTGAACAGATCCCTCTGAACCTCCCATGCTCCGTGACGTTGCAGCCTGGGCCCGAAGACACGGGGAAGGTAAGTTATCCCAAAGAGAACATCTGTCCAGGTCCAGGCTTTCTCCCTGGGATGTTCTGGACACACAGGGCCACTCCTCCTGTTGAAGATTCCTTGGGTCTAGGCCTGCTGGTCCTTCCTTGGACAACCAGTCTCTTCAGATGAGGCTGCAGGCTCACCCTCACCCCCGTACTCGGTGATGTGTCAGAGGCTCTCCTGAGTCACTGTTGCTGGCCCTGGTGTTGGCCGCAACAGAACCAAAATATTCTAAATGTCCTAAGGACATTCACCTGGCCTCACATAGCCCCACAAATCTTGTATGGTGATTTGAGCCCCGCTGTGGCACAGATGGGGAAACTAAGGCTCAGAGAGAAGTGGTGCCACTCGTGTCCCAGGCCCCAGACCTCAGAGCCCACTTCCTCATCTGTGAGGCAGTGATACCCCTTTATTGTTAGGGGAAACTGAGGTAGAGTTAACCCCTGTGTTGTTGGGGAATACTGAGAAAGTCCCCCAGTAAGGGGTCTGCGCCCTCTAGGAGCCCCCAGTCATGCTGTCTGTTGCTATTTCTGGGTGCTGGCTGCTTCGATGAAGACAGCCACCCGGATAGAGGCAGGAGTCCCAAGAGTACACCCAGCTAGGGCAGTTTGGGATGGGACAGCAGTGTCAGGGGAACTGGGAGCAGCTCTGTGGGTAGCTGGGTGGGGAAGCTGACCAAGGACTTTGAAGTCACGCCCACGAGGGGTGGGGCCGCAGGAGTTTGGCGTTCCTTGCCAGCGGCCTGTTTCATGTAATGGGAGGTTGAGCTGGCCACGTGCTGGAGACCCTGCGTCCCCAAGGCCCTGTGGTCAGCACTGCCTCCTCCACAGGCCTGTGGTGTGGACTATGAAGTCAAAGCCTTCTGTGCAGAGAACCTGGAGGAGAAGATCCACAAAAGGTGAGAGGGTACGGGGTGTGGAGAGGGAGGGGACAGCCCCAGGGGCAAGTCAGAGGAAGAGCTGAATCAGCGTGCTCATCTCTTCTCCTTCATACCACACCGGCAGTTTCCTCCTCATCTGCCTGCCTCTAGCTCCTCCCCTTCACGCTTCAGGTCTTTTTATTTTTGGAACACTCCCTAAATTCAGGTTGCGCTCAGTGTTGGGCTAGATGCCTTCAGGCCATCCCAATTTCCATTTTCCTCCTGGGAGGGCATGGGTGGGAGGTGGGGCCTGTGTGTCCTAGAGGCCTCCCGAGCAGTGGAGGGAAGAGGTGAACCACACAGGGAAGAGTGAGGGGGCAGCCGACGCCTCAGAGAGGGGAAGCACACTCCTCTAGGCCGAAAGCAGCTGGCCCCTGGTTCTTCTGGCTGCCCTTCCTTGGTCAGACCCTGCCCTGCCTACTGGCACGCCTGGCCTCAGCTCCCAAAGATGCCCCTGTGTCCCGCGGCAAAGGGTACAGCACCCTGTTAGGGAGTGGGTTGTTTGCCACCTTGTGGCTGTTGGTGGTATTGGAGGCATTTCTATCTGCACCCTGGGCAGCCCAGGTATGTGGGCAGAGGAGACTCTCCTCTCTGGATTCTCTGTCCCCTTTCCTCTTAAGACCTCAGACCAAGGAGAAAGAAGGGTGCTGTGTGCTGTGTCAGGGAGCTTGGCCAGAGCAAAGGAGCACAGACAACACTGGGAGTCACCACCCTCACCCCACCACTGAGGGGATATTTAAGACCATGCCAATGACTTTCTGGTAATGACGATATACCAGTAGTAACTATAATTTCCTAAGGGCCCATTATGTATGAGACATGTTCAAAGTCCTGGATAGGTGCAGATTCATTTCATTCTCACAGCAATCCTTAGAAATAGGTCCTGTTGCTGTCAGTAGTTTACAGATGAGGAGACTGAGGCACAGAGCAGTGAATATACTCAAGGTCATGCTGTTCCAGAGAACGGAGGTAGCTTGCAGAAATGGGAATGCCAGCACTCCCACTGTGCCAGTGAGGTGGTCTCACTGAGTCCCTGTCCCCTCCCCATCTCCCAAGTCCTTACTTCTCTCTGTCAACTTCCCTAGGCTCTTCTCATCTGTGAGCCTTCGTTGTCTCACTGAGGTACCTCTTCACTGGCTTACATCCCCTAGCTGGGCCCCAGAATCTTTCAAGAACCCATTTCTTATGGGGCCTCTGTTCCTTCTGCTTTTCTTTTTTTTTTGCAGTGCTAGAGATGCAAACCAGGCCTTCCACATGCTAGGCAGGCTCTCTACCTTTGAGCTGTAATTCCAGTCACATATTTTCACTTAATAGATACAGTGGACCCTTGACTTATGCACTCAATTCATTCTTGAGGGCTAGTTGTAACTCAACTTGGTCAATTGAAGGCTCAGGCTCCGATACACAGCCTTCAAAGTCTCTCTTCTGTCTACAGGTAGATCTCAGAGTTGTTAGAGAGACATTGGCCCAGGATTTCTCAGTTAACTCCACCCAGGAAAAGATGTTCTAATGTTCCTTCCAGAACTTTTTAAGGGTTAAATCTGTATCTGATAAGCACAAGCAGCCTACATTCAGGTTGTAACTCAAGACTTTGTTTGTAAGTTAAAACTAAAATTCCGGTCCTAACCCAAGTTGTTCATGTATCAGGTCGATCATAACTCCAGGGTCCACTGTATACATTATATGGCAGGCATTGTCGTAGATGCTGAAGATATAGCAGTATGTAAGGAACTTCTCTATTAGGTGACACAGAGAGACAGGAAGTGAAAACAGTTAGTTCTTTTCTTACCATCCTGCTGAGATAGACCCAAATGATGTGCTTCTACACAGTGGTTTGGGAATAGAATGGACGAAGATGGACTGGGTCCCTAAGCCGACTTCTGCAGTGGGTTGGATTCTGAGGTGATGGAGGAGCTATGGCAGCCTCTTGAGCAGGATAGGAATGTAAGAATTGCAAAGAAAGGGCATAAAGGTAGGTGACTCTGGTCCTCTTTCACACTATCCGTCTGCATTAGAAATTCTGTACGTCTGGTCATCCGGAAGGTTCAGTATGCCCCAGAGAGGCCGGGACCTCAGCCCACAGCCGAGACCACCAGGCAGTTCCTCATGTCGGACAAGCCCTTGCACCTGGAAGCCTCCCTGGATAAGGAGGTAGGAGCTGGGACCGGGCGGGCTGGCCTTCAGCTCAGTTCCCCTACTCCTGGCCTTGAGGACTCCTCAGGTGGGAGTCCCTTCCCCATCCTGGGACTGTGGATCTTGGGGAACTGAGGTCTCTCTTGGGGGGTCTGGGGCAGGCTCTTGCAGCCAGTATGAGTGGTGGAGATGGACATGAACCTGGGGGTTCACCTGACTTCAGAAGGAGGCAGTGTGCTCTTGGAAGGGTCCTGCCCATCTCCCCTCATATCTTCCAACTTTGAGCTCCAGGCCAAATGGAAAAGAACAGCCAGACTGGCAGAGAAGGGGACAGGGCCCCATGGACTCCCTGTCATAATGCTTCCTAACCCTGATCCATGAGACAGCAAACCCTGCAGAAGGCAAGGGACTATAAACAGCCAACTGATATCTGCTGTGAGCTGAGACAGGCCCCTCCTGGAGCGGTGGCAGCCTCTCCCACCCAGGGTAGCTGAAGGCAGATGCCTGGGTGAGAGGCAATCAAGGCTGTTCTGTGAGAATTCGGAGCCAGTTCCCCCATGGAGACAGCCAGCCCATCCTCTGCTTCTCTGGCTTCTGCCAGTCTCTTGTGTCAGCCCAGTTGGCAGGGACTTGAGACATCACTTGGTCCAAGTACTGTTGTACCGTGGGAGAAACTGAGGCTCAGATAACCTGTCCAACACAGCTGTTATCATTATTGCTTTTATTGTTATTGTCATTGTAGTTGGTGGCCAGGACAGGACTGGAGGCAGGAATATCACCTACTACAAGTATCTTTCAGGAGTCCCCCAAGGGATTGGAAGGCTGATATACTTGGTGACTTCTGTGCCATCTTCACACCAGTGCAAAGTGGCCAACGATCTTGGGCAAAAGTTAAAATAACTAAAACTTGGGGGACCCCAGGAAGGCCTTCCCCCCTCCCCTTTACCTAAGGGGCTGGTGCCCTCCCTGACAGCGCTTCCCTCTCTTCTGCCTCCTAGATCTATTACCATGGAGAACCCATCAGCGTCAATGTCCACGTCACCAACAACACCAACAAGACGGTGAAGAAGATCAAGATCTCGGGTACCCTGGGGCGAGGATCAGCTGAGGGGGTGGGTGGGTGAGAGGGAGACCTCTCAAGGACTGAGGTTACTGAATGCCTCGTCCTTGTCAAGAGGGCTGTGCTAGCTGCCACTAATAACCTCTGCACCTGGGGCCTGCTCTGGGCTAAGTGGGGACTTTGAGGCAGGTGCCTAGACTACTCATGGCCTCCTGTTTAGGCCACCTCTCCTAGGCTTCCTGGACTCTGGGAAAAGCTGTCCCTAATGGGAAAACTAGGTTAGAGGAAGGACTGGATGTCTTGGGGGCTCCCCTTTGGGTGGAGGGTGGAGTGATGTCATGCAGAGGTGCGCTGGTGGATTCTGGCCGTTGCCCAGGCTGAGCATCCCTGCCTCAGGGAAGCTGGAAGTACCTCCTCGAGTTGCCGCTTGGTCATGCAGTTCCTTCCTCTTTGCACCCCTCCACCCCAGTGCGCCAGTACGCGGACATCTGCCTCTTCAACACAGCGCAGTACAAGTGCCCCGTGGCCATGGAAGAGGCTGAGTGAGTGACTGAGGCTGGGCCTGGGACTGGGTGGGAAAAAGAGGCAGCTCTGGGTTGGGTCACAGCTCAGGTGGCTCTGCTCACCTGGAGAGGGCTGGGTCTCAGGCTTCCTTGTCACTTGCAATAGATGATCTTGAAGAGCCCTTCAGAAACCATCCACCTGATTTAGCTGCAATATAACACACACTGCAGCCAAGGAAAGCCAGCGAGACCCAAAAAGAGCTAATGAATGAGCGGGAATTGGGTGTGTGGAAAGAGAATCGCCAAACTGTACCAGAAACCAAGGTGGAAGGGGAAAACTTTGCTCTGAGCTTCTTGGGAGCCTAGGCCGAGTGAGAGGCACTGGGTACACGGCTTTTCTTGTCTGGTAAAGAAGTCATCCAGCTCCCTGGGTAGAGGGTGGTGTGTGTGGGAGGGGAAAGAATAATTTTACAAAACAGAAGTCGAGATTCGAAGCGAGATACTATGGCTGAGCATAGAACTTGTCCTGAGCATGCTGGCAGCTAAGATGAGGGGCCAGATCGCAGCCAAAGGCCGTCATCTACCTGAAGGGAGAATGTGTATTCCTTAGAAGACACACTCACTCTTTTTTATTTTTTAAGCCTGGCCCTAAAAATTTTGGGGAGCAGTTACACTTTATGTAATGTTACTTGTGTGTGTGTATATAAAATTGCAACCAGTATTTTTTGTCACTAAAAAACATTTTAAAACGTCTTTGAGATTGTTTTTAATTTCCTGCAGTGATGTGCTAGTTAGATTAAACATTCCCGTTATTGGATATTTCTTCTGTCCACTGTCGACTAAAAGCCAGAACAAAGCCTCAAAGCCATGAGATGTAGATTCTCGGTGAAGAGTACAGTGAAGTGACCCAGAGCCAGAGCAGCTTGCAGGCCCCCAGGTGGACCCTTGAGCCCTGCAGATGTGCACAGCTGCACAACTCAACAGCCCGGCCCTGGAAGGGAGCTGCTCGTGCTGAGTTTGGATGGTCCACATCTCATGGAGTCCTGTGGGGCTGCAGTTGCTACTGCCCCAGTATGCACATCAGTGAATGGGGTCAGAGAGAGCACTCACAAGGGGCAAAGCACCCTACTGTCTGCCGTGTACCAGTTGTCCTGTTGAAAAGGGAGACAACAAGCAGAGAGCAAAAACAAGTAAAAATTAAACAGAGCAAGTTTAGCTAGGTGTGGGGGTGCACGCCTGTAACCCCCAGCACTCAGGAGGCTGAGGCAGGAGGATCACCATGAGTTCAAGGCCAGCCTGGGCTACATAGTAAGTCTGAGGCCAGCCTGAACTACACAGTGAGACCCTGTCTTGAACAAAATGAAACAAAACAAAACAAAAAACATTTAGAAAATTAAACAGTCAAAACACCCTGTCCATGGTGGATCCATACGCTTGGATGAGGAGGTAGGAGCTGCAATAAAGCAGGTAGTTTTAGTTGTAGAGCCTCGGTAGCTTGTGGGTGCACATGATCCCTACAGTTGGAGGAGAGGGGAGCAAATTGGCAGAGAGAGGTTTGGCAGGGCCAGGCTAGGTGTCCTGGCTGGGTTGGGGCTGAAGGCTGGGGTTGTCGTGGGGATGGACTCCCTCCATGTCTGCTTCCCTTCTTCTCAGTGACACAGTGGCCCCCAGCTCAACATTCTGCAAGGTCTACACGCTGACCCCCTTCCTGGCCAACAACCGGGAGAAGCGGGGCCTGGCCCTGGATGGGAAGCTGAAGCATGAGGACACGAACCTGGCCTCCAGCACCCTGTGAGGACCTGCCCTCCTAGTCCCAGGCTCCTAGACCATGGGTCCCCGCCCTCCCTGCTCCCATCAGTGCAGGGACACGGGTCAGGTTGGCCTCGCCCTGGGCTGCCTGCAGGAGTTTGACCAAGCAGGGAGCCTGTGCCCCTACTCCCATCCATCCAGGAGGACCCAGAGAACAGCGCAGACTACAAGACCTGGCTCACTCAGTCATTGCCAGCCCTGCTGTTAGCCTGGGGCAGGGACAGCATCAAAGGGCTTTCTGTAAAGGGCAGCAGCTCCTGGCCTGGTGTCCTCAATCAGAGGCAGCGTTCCTGAGGCAGAAGGAAGGGAGTGGAAGGGAGCGGTCATAGCAGGAGCAGATGAATGGAAGGGCTTGGGGAATCTGGAGAGACCAGGCCTTTGAGCTGTGTGGACCAGGTGCGGGCTGCCCTCCATGTCAGAGACCCCAGGGCTGGCTGGTTACTCCTAACCTATGGGTGTTGGGAAGCCTGGGAGTGTGGGATACCTTCCTCCCCCTCCTTACTGAGGTCTGGACCTCCAGTGGCCACCTCTGCAGCATCTTACCCCCTGCTTCCAGCCCAGGCTTACACCAGTCTGACCCTTCCTCTTCCCAGCATAGGTAGCCCCCATGCCCCCAAGATTTCTGTCCCCTTCTCTACCCCAGCTTAAATCCTACATGGCTGTAAGACCTTGTGAAGGCACCACCTCCTTGGATACCCCTTCCCTGACACTCCCAGCTCGCTTTCTGAACTTCCAACTGGCCCTTTCTGCCCATGGGTTACTAAGCACAAACGTGGGGGAGAGAAGCAAAGCCAAGAAAGAATAGTCACATCCCGCCCCTCACCGTGCTGTTGGGACAGGGCCAGGGCAGGCTGACCAGGGTCACCCAGTAAGGAGTCTCACAGCCACTTTTGGGACTCAGGGCTCTGAGTTCAGGCTCTTTGAGGGAAGGCACAGCTCCTCTTTGTCTCTTCTGCTGACCCAGGTTGAGGCCCACGCTGGGCTCTTTGAGACATGGTGGCTGGGTACCCCAGGAGAAGAATAGATAGCGCACCCCCTACCAAGCCTCACTGCCTGCTGTGTCTCACTCCCCAGCAAGCCCTGAAGAAAAGCTAACCTGTTCTTTTGCAGGTTGAGGGAAGGTGCCAACCGTGAGATCCTGGGCATCATTGTTTCCTACAAAGTGAAAGTGAAGCTGGTGGTATCTCGGGGCGGGTAAGTGCTGTAGCCCAGTCCAAAGTTCCTAAGTACAGAGGGGCCCACAGCCCCCTACCCCATTCTACCTGTTTGTCAGACCTTTTAACTGCACCCTCCTATGGAGGAGGAACGAGGCTTGAGGACTTCCTGTTTCTCTCTCCCTCCTTCCGGTTCCTTTTCCTCCTCCATTGCCCTTGTTCCCTCTCCTTCTATACCCGCCACTTCCCCACTTGTCTCACTCCTCCCAACTCATCTTTATCCCAGGCTAGCCATAGACAGAGTGGGCATACAGCACGAGGACATCCTCACAGTCTATTCTGTGGGTGCCTGAAGGTGCCATGCCTCTCACATCACCTTGGAACACAGCAGGCACTCACTCTCACTCTTGCCTACACTGATCTGCTTGGGGCTCAGAATCCCAGAGCTAGATTCCAGATTTGCTAAGTTGGTTGACTTTGCCATTTTACAGATGAGGAAGCAAAGGCCCTAACTCTTCCCCAGTTACTTCCTGGACTCTCCTCTCTTAGCCTCACATCATGGGCCAGATGCTGGAGTCCCAGCAGTGGGCCAGACATATGCCTAACCCCGGAGCACAGTTTGGTGGAGGCTCAAAAAAATCTCATTTCTCTGTAATTTACAGAAACCTAGAATTTATAGGTTATAAACCTAGAATTTAAGGCTTCCCATTTGTTGGGGGAGTTTTTTGTTTTTTCTAATTTGGTTCATAAATTTCTAGGGAAAGATCAAAACATTTAAAAAATTAGATATTGAATTCCCTTAATTATTAGAATAATACTGATCACAAATTATAGGACATCTTTAAATCCCAAATCCTGTACCCTGTGGCTTGCAGGACCCACACACAGTCTTCTGTGTGCTCCTGGTGACCCCAAAGTCATTCCTTGTGCCATTAGACAGTCCTGGGGTGGGGAGAGCCTCTGGATCTTGGGGCCCGGGGAGGTTGCTGAGATGGGGCTAGCCCTCAGCCCCAAGGGCAGCCTGAAACCTTGTCAGTACCCTGGGTGAATATTCTGGGCAGGGGTTGGGGGTGTCCCCTGAGTCTGCTGTGGGGGCAGCTGAGGTGGTGAATGAATGTGTTTTCTCTTTTCTCTCTGCACTCTCTCCTGACCACTCCTCCCGTCTCCTCTGACCCACCCAGCCTGCTGGGAGATCTTGCGTCCAGGTAAAGTCCTTCCTTATGCCTGCTTGGGCCAGCTTCCTGGAAGGCGCAGGAACCACTGGCCTGACTGACCAGTACCTGGGGATACTGAGCTGGAAAGAATCTAGAGGTCTTTGCAGATCACAGGCTCAGGGCTAGAACCTTCTCGAGAGGGACTGGGGCCCACATTTTCTTTGTAAAATAGCTCTCCCCATTCTTCCCATCCCACTTGAGTGACAGGGACTTTACAGATAGCAAGGATTTGGAGAGTGGCCCTGGGAGAGCAGACTGGATGACAGAGAAACGCAGACTTCATGACTTTCAAACCTCTATTTGAATAGGAATGGACTATTGGCTGGGTGTTGCTAAGGAGAAGCCCTCCAGAGATTTGTTTCTGTAGACGAGTTTCCCTGTGACCAGTTGGATGGACTTACATTCCTCAAATGCAAATATGGCTATTTGGCCTGTCCCTGTCAAAAGAAGGCCATATTTTCTTCCTGTGAAATCTAAGTCTAACTTGAGAGGTGAAATTAATTTAATTTAGCTCAGTGTAGTTCAACAAAGACTTTCTAAACCTAGAAAGTGCTACAGAAGTCCTCCCAAAGTACTCCTTCCACCTGCCTGTGTTAGTCATGCCCTGGTGGAAGGCTGAGGTCCAGGTTCTCCATAGCATATCCCGGACAACTTTGGTGAAGGCCAGTACGTTCAGTCTTCCACCAGCTCTGTCTGATGGCTCACTGTCTCACTTCTCTGGAAAAGCAGTCCTCTTTGGAAGGAAACGCAAACAGAAAGTCAAATAGTTTTGACTGTCTTATAAAACTTCCTTCCGTATTTCCATTGAAGGGAAGGAATACCTCTGATGGGCACAAGTTTCACAGTTTAGCCAGGTCTTTTACCAACATCTGGCAGTTGCAGTGGTTCCGGAAGGTAGGCGCTGTTATCCCTGTTTTCCAGAGGAGCTCAGTGAGCCGCACAGATGTGAAGTGCTCCCCCCGTGAGAGGGGGGCTGGTGGAGCACACATTTCTGATCCACTTCTTGTGCCCCTTCCCATTCCATTTTCCATCCCTTCCCCCTTTGAGCTGGGCCCAGGGTAAGAAGATTACAAATATGTTTCTGTGCCTAGAGGCGCTCACAGTCTAGGAGAACATTTCCTAGGGTGTGAAGTTGAGGAGCTGAGAGGAACAGTACTAGGAAGGCTGGATGGCTGTGGTATTTTGAGGTGGGAGAGTCCAAGGGCGCCTGTGGAGCCCACCCAGAGGCCACAGGGCACACTGCCCTGGACAACCCTTTCCCCAACCCAGGGATCTTTCTCAGGACTAGAGAAGTTTTTGTTCCTTTTAAAGGTGGGAAAAGAGGCCTCCTAGCTCAATTCCTAGAGAGACTGAGGCTTAGAGAGTGGTAGACCTGGGGTGGACCTGCCTCCCTGACCACAAACACTCTCCAGCCCTCAGACTGACAGGGCATCAAAGCTCACAGCCTGAAACTCTTGGGGCTCACAGGGTTTGGGTCTATGTTTCAGCGATGTGGCTGTGGAACTGCCCTTCACCTTAATGCACCCCAAACCCAAAGAAGAACCTCCACATCGGGAAGGTGAGCAGGATCTGTGGGTCACTGGTATGGGGTTTGCAGGTAGCCCACTCCCTTCTCTACCAGCTGCCATGTTACCCTGTCACTCCACCTCTTTCTGGCATAGCCTTCAGCCTAGTGTCACCCTTCCCCCGGCACCGAGGGTCTTTGTGGAGCCCATAATTTCTACCTCTGGCCCTGCTAGGAGACAGGGAGCCCTGACCTCTATTCTCATGGGAGAGGGAGGCTGGGAGCAGAGGAGGTAGCACGCTGACTGCACACCCATGCACAGACTTGGTCTTCTTCCAGAGTGGGAGAAGGGGCTACATGGATAAGACTGCCTCTGGACATGTCATTTCCATCATTTTTCAAGGGATAACCAATTGGTCATTGGACTCTAAGAAAGATAGCATTCCCACAATTAAACTATGAAATGCCACCGATTATAAAACATACTTCAAGCTCAAGAGAGGTTAAATGTTGAAAAAGTTGTCTCAGAATTAGTGAAAGTCAGGAATGTGAGAATCTTAAGTCATATTGGAGACCTGTCCATGCAGCAGGGGCTCAGAGGTTCTTCAGTTGTCCTGGGGCTGCAGTGGGTGTTCAGGGCCCTCTCTACAACCCCCTGGCTTGAAGATGATCTGGGGTGTTCCAAGACCTGGATGAGTCCCCCCTCCCCTCCCCCTTCCCCTCCATCCTTTGCCCTCCCTGTACCAGCCTGCTTGTCCCAGGCTGGGGGCCTGTGCCTACCCATCCTTACCCTTCACTAACTCCTGGGTGCCCTGCCCCCTGTGTTCAGTTCCAGAGAACGAGGCTCCAGTAGACACCAATCTCATAGAACTTGACACGAAGTAAGCCAAACCATGCCTGCAGATGTCTGGGGGTGGGCCTGAGGGGTGCTGTGGAGGGGTCATTTGCATATATGCTTATTAACCCCTGAGGAGCAGCTGGTCTAACCCTGTCTGCTGAGAGCCACCTCTGCTCGCCTCTTCAGCAACCTGCTTGCCTGCATGTGACTTGAAGGACCCTCCGTGCCTGTTCCTCTTCCTTCTGCCTTGGTGGGGTCTGTCTTCCTCCCTCGTCCTTGCACGTCCGTCCATCAGTCCATTCGTCCATCCACAGCACCTGCTCAGCTCACACAGGGCTGATTCGAGCCCTGGGATCTGCTCTCCCGTCCTGCCACACCAATTGGGCAGAGGCAGGCAGTGGGTGGGGAGGGGTTTGGGTCCTGCTGCTTCTGACTCCCGTGGACCACCTGATGCGGATGTCTCTGCGGTGAAAGGCCAGCACGGCACTGGACAGTGGCCGGAGAGGGAGGACCTGGGCCAACAGCACGAATCGCCTCCAGGGCCAAGCGGTTTTCTCGCTCCAGCTCCAAAAGCCACCCTTTCCTTGTCCCCAGGGAGAGATCTGGAAGATGGGGGTCTCAAGTCACTCCATAAAGATGCCCCATGATGCTGGCTGAAATCCATGGGGCAGCGGGCGTGGGTGGGACCCTGCCTGGCCCTAAGTGTGCATGCATTATGATAAAAGGGAAGCATCCTTAGTCCTGCAACCCCACTCAGGTGCCCTAAGCCCCCCACGTCTTGTGCCTCTCTAGATTTGTCAACCCCTTCTCTACCTAGGATGCACATGAACTGACGCTTCCCCAGGCAAAGGGCTTTATGGCTTTCTCTTGCATGAAACCCAGCCCACTCCTTCCTATTCAGAAAGGAGAATGCTTCCTATGGGTAGTTTTGTGGGTGGGTGTCTTCGTGGGCCTGTTCCGGGGGATTGAGATAGGCTATGAAACCTTGGTGGCCTGGCCTCTCATGGTGGGAACAATTCCTTCCTCTGGCCACAGAGCCGCTGGTGTTTTACATGTCTCATCTATCACCTCAAAACTGGGTCACTTCTCTAGCTTGGGTGTGAAAGTCAAACTCATGCCCCTCTGGCATTTTACCATTTCCTCCAGGTCTAGAATTGGGCAAGCAGATGAGCGAGCCTGGCAGGCCTGGTCAAGGTCAGCCGTGGAGGCCAGAGACCTCAGAGTGTGGTTCTCTCTTGGGCTGCCAAAGACCTCAGAGTGTGGTTCTCTCTTGGGCGCTTGGGCATCACATTGGGCCAGGCCTCTGCACTTGCCTCTTCTCCCTGTCCCTGAAAATATGCCACATTTTCCTTGTCTCTCCTACCAGTGATGACGACATTGTATTTGAGGACTTTGCCCGCCAGAGACTGAAAGGCATAAAGGACGACAAGGAGGAAGAGGAGGACGTTACCGGCTCTCCACACCTCAATGACAGATAGACTGGGGCCGGCCTTCCTCCGGGCAGCTCCAGTCCACTCTCCCACACTAGGATGCTCATTTGTCTTCTTCCTGTTCTGGTTTCCCTCCCCTTTGTTCTTCCAGTTTCTACCAGGGGGCTTAGTGGTCTCTAGGTCTTGGTGATGGACCTCTGGCCTTGGGACTGGCCCGGCATCATCATACCAACAGGACCGCAGTGCACTGAATTCACCCTTCTCGGAAGTCACTCCTCTACTCCCTTCCCCCTTTTCATGCTCAGTCCCAGAAAGGCCACCATGATGGTGTTGCTCTTGGGATTTGGCTTGAAATGGGGAGGGAGCAGGGGAGGGTGTGCAGGAGAGGTGTGGCAGTGGTGGGCATGAGGACTCAGAGGGCAGGAGGGCTCAAGACATAGGAGAAGATGTCTGGAGTCCCAGGTGGCAGCATGGTTCTGGCAGCTAAGGGAGAACCACGTGGAAGGCCCCCCGTCTGGCTGGAGGGGCAGAACTGTGGATAGATTCCCAATGCCTTTTGCAGTTCGGACCCACCAAAGGCCTCTCCTCCTTCATCCTTGCCCAGGTCGCTGCATCCTTGCCCAGGTCATCATGCATTGGTGAAGACCCATACATGCCAGAGTGGAGACAGACAGTGGGCTGACTTTCGTATCAGCAGATAACAGGGCTGAGGCAAGCTGTGTGAACTAGCTGAGTACATTTCGGTGTTGTCGGACTGTGGCACCTTAGCTGCCGTGTGCTTTACATGTGTGGACATAGCTGTATGTGCACAGAGGTGGAGGGAGAAGGGTCTTCAGCAAGCAGCAGCCACCAACAGGGGTGCTTTAGGCGGGGCTCTCAAAGTGGGGTGAGAGTCCACTTTCCCTTCCTTTCATGGACTTAAGATGATCACCAGGAGACAGGCTGGAGGCCAGAGGTAGCTGGGCCACTATATCCCCCTTCCTTCCCCCTGTAGTTCTCCAGGACTGCCAGGCTGGGCCAGCCTTGCAAGTTGGGAGAGAGTCTGAGGCTACCATGCCCTCTGTCACAAGGGGTCCTTCTCCAGTAGGTGTCTGGCTCCTTCAGGATGCTCTTCCCCCAAAGGGAAGGAGGCTGCTTTTTTTCCCCCTTGGACTTCAGAAGTTCCCAGTGTCATGGGTACCCTGTACCTATCAGATGTTGGTGTGATGGAGACCTGGGACATTTCTCAGGGAAACAGGCCAGAGAGATGATAAAGTAGAAAGTGTTAAAAGGTATCTATCCTTGTCTGGTCTTTGATGCTGACTTGCTGTGTGTCCTTGGGCAAGTTTCTTTCTCTCTTTGGGCCTTATTTAGTTCCTCACTGGATAACCAAGAAGTTTGACCAGATGATCTCAAGAGTCCCTTGGGCTCTGGCTTCTGAGAATCTGTGAGCACAAGAGCTTCTGGTGTGCTGGGTGGAGCTGGGGCTGCTCACTGCTCTAACCTTCAGACTTCAGAGGGCAGGGCCCAGCCCAGCACCCAGTCCCTCCTCCAGGCCTAGGAAGCACCCTTTTTGGGCCTCAGGAAGTTGCCTGGGGTCATAGCCAGACATAACAAGGAGGGACAGAGCTGTGTTTGCTGAGGCTTGGGTGGGGGGCTTACGATGGAGCTTCCAGGGCATCACAGCCCTGCCCCTCAGGATTCAGACACCCTGAAGTTTATCCAGGCAAATACACCAATTAGCAAGGCAAGGGGATCTCTTCTCAATTTTTGTTCCTTTCTGTCTCAATCCCACACTTGCCTGCAAAGAGAGACAACATACCTTAATATGTACAAGTTGGATTGGAATTTTTTTTAGCCTAGCACATCCGGCATTGGGCTGTGAAACCATCATCCATGGTGAAAGAACCCAGTTACCTGGCCCTGCACCTTGTAATCTCATGAACACCCAACCCAAAGGACCCGCTTCCCAGGTCAGAACTGTGTAGGGTGGTCATACTCCTCTGGCCAGTCTCGGGTCCTATTTGCAAATATCCCAGGTGTCCAGCTCTTGCTAGAGCTGGCTGGGCAGTTTGTGCCCTATCTGGACAGCTGTAGAGGTGTGGAATGCTGAATAGCAGATGGCCAGCATGTGCCTTCCACTGTCTCCATCTGAAAGCTGATAGAGATCCTTTTGTGTTTGGCTTTACCAGTCTCCTGCGGGCCTCTTTTCCCATCCTAACATGTGCACACAGAAGATTTGCCAGGCCAGTTTCTTGAGCTTCTTCCACCTCAACATCACACTCACCTTTTCGGTTTATCCCAGTGTTAACTGCAGTTTTCCCAGCTTTGGGGAAGCAGCAGAGCCCCCTGTCTTTTTGCTACCTTGAACCAAGACTACACATGGCAGTGGTTAAATTCAACTGAATTCAGCCCAACCATTTTTTGCTGACAGCTTCTTTGCTATTTGCCTAGCACTGGAGACAGAGATGGGTTGTCCTTAGGAAGCTCACAGCCAGAGCAAAGTTACAAGTAAGTAAGAAGAGGGCCATTGCATTCAAGCTTCCGTGGCTGCTCCTGGTCCAGGCTGTGCCTTGTGAATTAGAACCCAGTACCACCTCCAGAGGTATTTGGACCCATGCTAAAATGACAGGCTTGTGGGTCATATGTGGGTTGCATTTTGGTGTCACTTGTGCCTTGGCCAGGTGTCTTGCTGTGGAACTGTGCTGCAGTGCTGTGGGACATAGGCTGAAGTGTTTCCCTGGCATCTTCCTGGAGGGGAGGACCTAACTCATTGTTCCTGATACCTCAGCTCCCTAACATGACTGAATGCCTCTCCTGTAGGGCTTCTGCATGCTGGCCAGATGATACCCAATTCCATTAGGGGTGGGAGGGCCTCACTAGGCCCCAGACCCACAGTTTTTGTCTTTTTGTTTCCTGTGCCAAACCAGCAGCCCCACACTAGTACTTTCCTGTGGGCCGTGTGGGTGGCACATTGACACCGATCTGGTAGTAAGGAAGAACTTGCTGTGGGTGAAATTACTAAGTAGAGAGCTAGCTGGACTTGCTTAGCAATCCAACCAAGAAAGAGTTCAGTCCCTGGGAAGATAAGGACTGAGTTAGTTGGCAGGGCCCCATGGCCTCTTCAGCCTTAAAGCCCAGACAAACGAGTGAGCTCACCTGGGTTTTAGTTTGCTTGGGAGAACAGCTGACAGCTGGTCCCATATGATGCAATAATGTTACTTTGGAAGTCCCCAGTGCCACCTTTCAGTCCTGGCTGTCATCAACCATGTGGGTGGTCTTGAGCAAGTGACTCAGATTAATGGGCTCAGTTTCCTTACCTGAACTGGAACAATAACCTTTACCTGCCTGACAGGCACTGTGGTGAGGCCCAGAGGAGATAGAAATCGGTGGCCAGTTGTCTTTTAAGTATCCTGGGTGTAGCCCTGCAAGTACAAGGGCATGGCCCAAGGTCACACAGGAATTTTGCTGTGAGCTGAGCCCTCTTCCCGCCAGTCTTCCACTCTTGGTCTGCTTCTCACATAGGTAGATGTCAGCCAGAATGAGATTCAATCAATTTGGCCTCGGTGACGCAACTGAGAGGGATATGTGGACACTACTCATGACTTCCAAGCCCAGGATTCAGGACAGAGAAGACATGGATGTTGTTAGTGGCAGACAGAGGCATTGTAGGCCTCCCAGGCCTGGGCCATCCACATTTCCCATTTCTCACCTCACAGAGGTCAAGAAGCCCTGGCCATGACCCCAGGTCAGGGAGCTGACTCCATCATTGCTCCATCAAAGATATCCAAAGGTCATCCCTGATGGTTTTAGTGACTCAGAGAGGTAGCTCTCTCTTGTCAGTGACTAAGACCTGGACAACCTCCACCATCCAGGAGGAAGAGGGAGGCTGCCATTTTGAACTCCTGTAGGGTCTCATGGACACAGGCCTGTGCCTGTTCTGATATTTTTCTTTTTAAACTCAATAAGGACCAAAAGAGACTTCCCTGATCCTCACTCGTTTAGCCTGCCTGGAGCCTGCATTTTGCCATCATCTTGGACCTGGCAGCTCCATCACCTTTGCCGTTCCTCCTGGCTGGAAATGGCCAATTTATGGGGCAGATGCCCAACTCTGCCTTACCCTGTAGGGTCATGGCACAGCAGCTTCAAAGGGAAACCTGCAGGAGGGGAAGTACCTTCCCCCAACGCTCTCCCAACTCGTTACCCCAAAAGAGAAGTCAAAGCACAGGTCCCTGGGACCCATGATCTGCAGATGCTCTGTCACAGTAGTTTTCCAACCAGGTACTGTGGAACCCCTGGTATGCCACAGGGCTTTGTCAGGGGATGCTCTGTGGGGGAGATGGGTGGAGGCAAGCGAGGGCTGAGTCTGCAGCCCTTCATCCCCCCGCCCCCCAGAAAAACTCTGCTTTTATCTCCTGCCTACTGAGGTTTCACTTTCAAACTCTGTTTTGAAGAAAAACTTCAAACCACCATTCTGGGGTTTGATCCTAGACCAGCAAGCACAGGTTCTATTCTTGCTTTTCATGTTGGAGCAGTTTCAGCATTCCAATACAAAGCGTCTTTGTATTGATCTTGGGTCACACACCCAGCGCTCTCTCTCTCTCTCTCTCTGTCTCTCTTTCACACACACACACACACACACACACACACACACACACACACACACGTACATATTTGATGGTTTTCCAGCCAATCCCCTCTGTAGCTCTGGCCTGGGTTTGGTGTAGGCAGGGCCTGGTGCTCAGTGAGGGTGGAGCTTGTCCCTTGATACTGGACCATGGAGCAAGGAAACAGGTCCAGTCCCCAGCCAGGACTGTGACACCCCACTTCTGACCCAGACCCAGGGATGACAGTGGGAGCGGTCTGAGGGGAAAGGGAGAAGCTAGAGCCAGGTTTCTCTTTGTCCACAGCCAGATAGCTGGAAATCCAGGCTCGAAGGACACTCGTACTGAGGGCAGGATTTCCCCCAGAGACCTTTTAAGCAGCAAGTTTCCCTCACATAGTTTAGTAGGATTCTGCGCCCACATTTGTGAGCCAACAAGTATATGAACTGCAGGAGGCTCTTGTTCCCAAAGAGAGGCACCTGCAGCCTCCCAACTTCGCTGCCCCTCTGCCAAGGTTCCTGTCTAGGGCTCCCTAATGTGGGCATTTTGGTGAGACTTGGACCAGCCCTTGGCACAGAATCCTGCTTGGGCCCACCTTTCAGGGCAGTCTAGGTGAGAACATGAAACTCAGGGAACTGCAAGCCGCCTGGCATGATGGGAAGAGTGCCAAGTGGCACTTTATGTTGAGTGTGAATGTGCCCCTGGGAATGCCACTGGCTTCAGTTTCCCACGTGTACATGGGGTTATTCCCAGGATCAGCCCATCTATTAGGGACTCTTGCAAGGGCCATAGGGGAGGTGGTAGGAGAGGACGTCCAGTGAGGTGGCAGCATATAAGAGTCAGGTGCCTCATAAACTTGGTCGAGGTCCTGGCCTGCAACAGTCTATAGAGCCTTGGGGTAAGCGAGAGGACGGCCATGTTAAGGCCTAGTCACAGATGCCTCAGGGCTGCCACTTGCTACAAGTGGGAGGGAACCAAGGTGTGTGTCCTGGGAAGGAGGGAGGGGTGGCCAGGGCAGACTCCAAGTCTGTGGCGTTCATATTCTGTGACTATTCTGTGGCATTTATTCCTGGGTCACCTCCAGGGTAATTTGTTGTATCTGTGACATCCCTTATTCTGTCAGATAAGTTATTATAGTTTATTCAACTCCAACAGGACTAATGAACAAAAGAACCATAAATAGGAGGCCATTAAAGGTCTTTTATAACAGAAGATGCTGGCTGTGCTTTTATTTCTGTCTCATAAATTCCAGGCAGGACCTAGTCCAGGAGGGGCTGTCCTGCTGCTCTGGACTGGGTTCCATGTTTTATTCCTTGTCCGTGGCCCCCAACTTTAACTTTGTTCTTGTACCCACTTCTGGAGACTGCCAAGACCTTTCATCCTGTCTCTGGACTGCCACTACTCAGCTTTATGGTCCTGGGAAAGCTGCCGAGCCTCTGATCCTCAGCACCTACCAGATTCTATGATTCCTGATTTGGTCCTGGGGTAAAGCTCACCCATCTTTATTTTTGTACCACTGCTGCCTCAGCTGGGGTCTTCAGGTGACCCTGCACTCTAGTTCTTGACCTTCTCTTGTTCTCTTGCTCACTGGGGATGGCACTGGCCTGTTTCCCAAGTATAAATGGGGCTTCAGTTCCTATTGGCTGCTGTGCTCCATCCACTCCCTGAAATCCCTTCTGTTTTCTAAGCCTTGCCTGATGCCTGGGCTAACCGAACACATGGGCAGAGCAGGGACTTTGGTGAGGAAGAGTTAACATCTTAACAGATGATGCACTGTTTTGACGAAAAGAAGAGATCTATGAAATCACTTTCCTAGACAATTATATAGTAAAAATATATATTTATATTCCTATAAAATAGTAAACAACTTAGATCTAAGCTGTGCCTTCCTGGTAGGCAAGAGAACTGCCTGTTCCTCCGATGTTCCGCTCCCACCAGAGTAGGGCAGTGGGAAGACACTGACATTTGAGTGAGGGGACTTGCTCTAGAGCTTTTCTTCTACTGACCCTGCCTCCAAGGATTGTATTCAACCCAATCTAGATAAACAGAGTCAATACCAGGAGTTTTTTAATTTGTTTTTTGGGGAGTTTCAGCGGGGCTGGGGATCAACCCAGAGCCTCATGCATGCTAGGCAAGCACTCTACCGCTAAACTATACCTCCGTGCCAGGAGTCTATTTGGAGAAATTGGTTATTTAAATGTTAGACAAATAAAACAAAGGGATATGGCAACTTAAAGATCTCCAGGAAGCCATTACCATCTCTAGGGTAGAGGAACAAGGAGTGGAGGTGGCATTACCCCAGCTGAGGAACCAGGACAGCTCAGGAAGGACACTGAGGGAAAAGGCATCTGAGGAAGACAGAGTTACAGCCAACCCACCCACCCACAGCCATCACTGGAGATGCTGCCCAAACCAGACAGGGAGAGGGAGAGGGGGAGAAATATTCTGGCTTCACTTCAATTCCTGCCCTCCTATTACATACCAGTGTCTCTTTTTGATAGAATCTGATTCTGAGCTAATGTGCAAGAAATTTTGCCAGTGTAGTTTGGAATGGTCGGTGACTGGAAATATAGAACAAGAAAAGGTCAAATGATTAGACCTGAAAACAAATACGCAAATGATCAGCTCTTTTCTAGTCTTCTCATCCTAAACACAGATAATTATTTGACTTTCCACAATTTGGAAGGAGGGTCCTGATATCTTAACAGGATTCTGAGCAGAGGAGAGATATTTGTCATTGTCCCTTATCTGTCAGCTTTTCTACTATTGTAACAGTCTTCATAATTGTTTGGCGCTTCATTCTGCTTAGTTTTTTTCTTTTTTTGTGGTACTGGGGATGCAATCAAGGGCTTTACTCATACTAAGCAAGTGCTCTAACACTTACCTATACCCACAGCCCTTTTCTTTTCTTTTCTTTTTCTCTATTTGGTACTGGTGATTGAATTCTGGGCCTTCACACTGAGCTGCAGCCCTAGCCCTTTTTATTTTTCATTTTGAGCCAAGGTCTTGAAAAGTCACTAAATTGCCCAGGCTGGACTTGAACTTGCAGTCCTCCTGCCTCAGCTTCCCAGAGTATTACAGGCTTGTACTAGCATGCCCAACTTTGCTTGGCTTTTTAAAACTCCAGATGATCAAAACAAAGTGAAGAGGAAGTTTGAATTCTGGCTAAGGTGGAATAAATCCACGACACCCCATTCCACTTACTTTTTATACCTAAAAATTCTGGGCAAAAGTATGAAACACAGTTACCTAATGATTCTGAAAATCAAATAAATCCAGGGAGATGGTACTAGAGAGTGAAAACTTGGAAAAATAGCCTGCATGTAGTAATTTTTTCTTCTCTTTCCTCTGTGGCATTGCATTGAGATTAGAACTACCACTCGCAGAAGGTAAGACAAAACTTAAGATCTGAATTCAAATTGGCTGATTACCTCTTGAGACAATAATAACAACAAAGTCAAAATTCTGTACAGAATTTAAAAAGTACCCAGAATCTATACAATATAATATCCACAATGTCCAGAACACAATTTGAGATTTTGAGATTGTTCAACACACACACACACACACACACACACACACACACACACACCAGAAAAAAAAAAATGGGACCAATTCCCAAGGGAAAATGCAATCACCAGATATCAACTCTGAGATGACTTAGATGTTAGAATTGTTACAAAAGACTTTGGAGTGCCTATTAGAACTTGAAATAGAAAGATAGTGGGTCACAGCACAGATATAGACACTATAAATAAAACCAAGTAGAAATTTTAGAACTGAAAACTACAATATTTAAATAAAATATTTCCTGGATGAGTTTATAGTAGAATGGAAATGACAAAGAAAAGAGTCAGTGAACTTGTGAATCAATAGAAATTATTGTCTCTGAAAAATGGAGAAAAAAATTTTTTTAAAAATAGAGACTTCTTTGTTCATGTCTTCTGTATTGTTATGATTCTTGTCTAGATGTCCCCCCACAAAGCCTCATGCATTCTTGGGAGGGGTTTTTCAGAGGTGGGTGGATTCTAGACTGGTATGAAGCATAGTTCTGGCTAGGATAGAGTGCTACACTGACCCTAGGGTGGGTAGCCTGCATACAATATAACAGGCAGAAAGAAAGAGGACTAATGCTCGTGCCTGCCTGCTCGCTGTGCACTATTTCTCCTCTGTGTTGCCCCTCTGCCAGTCCACCCTGCCTTCAAGCCAGCTGAGTATGGACTGAAATCTCTGCAAACTGTGAGCCAAAATAAACCTTTCCTCCTTTACCTTTGGGTGTCATGTATTTTGTCTCAGTAACAAGAAAAGTAACTAAGACACATAGTATACTTCAAATGGTAAGTACACTGAAAGGTTTTGTATGTCTATTGTGATTCCCTAGAGCAAAAACTAATAGTAGAGCCGAAAATGCAAATTAAAGTAAAAAATTTAAAATACCATCTTAAAAACAACTCAAGTACTCCCAAAGAAGGCAGGAAATTTTTTAAAATGATGGGAAAATCAATAACTACATGAAATGAGAGTAGTCTAGAAGCTATGTATGGTGATGTACACCTGTAATCCAGCAGTTGGGAGGCTGAGGCAGGAGGATTGCCATGAGTTTGAGGCCAGCCTGGTATACAAAGAAAGTTTGAGGCCAGCCTGGGCCACAGAGTGAGACCCTGTTTCAAAACAAAACCAAAAATGAAAAAAGGACAGAGAGGGCTCAGGGATTTAGCTCAGTGCTGCTATTCCTGCCTCCCAAGCCAGCACAAGGTCCTGAGTTTGATCCTTGGTACCAAAAACAAACAAACAAATAAAAGGACACAGGTTAAAAGTAAAAGGATGGAAAAAATGTGCTATACAAATAACAAAAAGGAAGCTGAAATGGCTATATTGATATTTGATAAAATAGACTTCAGAACAAGAAATGTTACCAGGAATAAAGAAAAGCATACATAATATTGAAAGTATTAATTTAAGACATAATAGTGTTAAATGTATATGCATGATCATGTTTCCAAGTATACATAGCAAAAAGTAGGACCAACGGGAAATAAATTCACAATACTACTTTCTCAGTAACTGAGAGTAATGAGAGAGAATATTTGCAAGGATAGAAAGACCTGAAAAATATTAATTAGTTTGAGGTAATTTTCATTATAGAATATTTCACTTCAAAACAATGCAATGTCTAAGTACATAAAAACTTTTGTTCACAAGAATAAACATTTTGGGGGCCTAAAAATTAACCAATTATAAAAATTTAGATAATAAATATAATCCTTGATCATAACAAAAAACTAGAAATAATAACAGGAAAGTATCTGGAGAATTCACAAATATTTGGACATCAAGCAATACTTCTAAATGGGTCAAAAGGAAATGATAAGGAAATTTGAACATGTTGTTCTAATGGAAAAATATTAGAATTAAACAAAAATGAAGACAAATATCTAAATTCCCAAGATGTAGCCAGAGTAGCAATTATATCCATAGGTGCAGAAAAGTCAACATTGGTTCATAGTTAAAGAAACAAAATTCAACAACTGTTCATGATTTTAAAAAAGCCAACACCTTTTAGCAAATCTCCTTAGCCTTATAAAGGACATTACAAAAGAAGACAGCTAACATCATAGTTAATGCTGAGAGATCAAATACTTTTCCTTTACAACTGCATAAAGGTAAGGCATAGAGTTCTTATTACTCTTACTCAGCTTTATGCTAGAGACCCTAGACAGTGCAATAGGGCAAGAAAAACACATAAAAGGACTACTGATTGCCAAGGGAGAAAGAACATTGTCTCTATTCACAGTCATCTTGATCACCTCAATAAAAAATCCCAAGAAATCTATGAAGAGCCTACTAGAAATATAAGTACATTTAGATGGTTTGAAGGAAGAAGCATGATCAATATGCAAAAATCACTTGCATTTCTGTATAGTAACCATTTATAAACCTGAAATAGGTGTTAGCTGATATGTGTAGGATGTCTATGTTGAAAAGCAAACGTGCTGATGAATGGAATCAGAGTAGGTCTAAAGAAACTGAAAACTAAAACATGTTCGCAGATCAGGAGATTCAATATTGTTGGGTGTGGTGGATCGTACCTGTAATCCAGCAACTTGTGAGGCTGTGCCAAGGATCGCTTGAGCCCGAGAGTTGGATACTAGCTGGGGCAACACAGCAAGACTTATTTTTTGGTACAGGAGATCGAACTCAGGACCTCG